GAAAGGGCTGATTTAACGATTAACAAACAAAATAAGGATATGACCAGGCTGTTGAAGAAGTGAAGTTATTATTCATTTACCAGGTGATATTTAAAGAAGGTGTCCCATTATTAGACCAGTGCTGAAGCCTTTGCAAACGGTAAAATGTGAAGAAAAATCATAGTAGGATGAAACTCATTGAAAAAGAAAGAAAATATAAGAAAAATGAAAGGGAAAATAAATTACCGGCGATCTGCGGTCGGGAAGTGGTGGGAGTGGGTTTTCAAGGGTAAAAAACGGTTTATCTTGATTTCCAGCAAAACTATGAGCCCTATGGAAGAAAGTTGAATAGCAAAGTTGTAGGTAATAAAGAGAACTACAACTTTTGTAATCACACTTTTTTCACATAACCTGAAAATTTATGTGAAAAATTCAAATAATCAAGTTTTTGTTTTTTTATTTTCATCTTATGCGAAAAATAAACTTTTTTCACGAAATTTGGTCAAAACCTGCCTTTTCATGTCCTTACGACACTGTAATTTTTTTGATATGAAATATTCATTTTTTCACCTTATATTGACTTAATATCGAAAAAACACCCTAAATTTCAATCGAAAATTCTCGCGTCAAAATATCAGCTTTTTAAAAAAACGAGGCGTTTTTTGTTCGTTGAAATCTCTTCTTCCTGATGTGAGAAAATATATACATCACTATGGTAAATGTTCTCAGAAAACGCAAAGAAAAGAAAAAAACACGAATCCGAATTTTTTTTTAATCACTATGTATAATTTTGAGCTATTTTGTAAAATTTTCACTTCAATTACTTGAAAAACATAAGAAGAAAGAAAGAAGAGATTTTAACAAATAAAAAACGCCCCGAGTTGTTTTAAAAAGCTGATATTTTGACGTGAGAATTTTCGATTGAAAATTAGGGTGTTTTTTCGATATTAAGTCAAAATAAGGTGAAAAAATGAATATTTCAAATCAAAAAAATTACAGTGTCTTCAGGACATAAAAAGGTAAGTTTTCACCATATTTCGTGAAGAATTTTTTTTGCTTAAGATAAAAATAAAAAACCAAAAACTTGATTATTCGAATGTTTCACATAAATTTTGAGGTTATGTGAAAAAAGTGTGATTACAAAAGTTGTAGGTCTCTTTATTACCTACAACTTTGTCATTTAATATTTCTCCATAGGACTTGTGGTTTTGCCGGAAATCGAGATACACCGTTTTTCACCCTTAAAACTCACCCCCTTCCACTTCCCTACTTCAGATCGCCCGTAAATTGATTTTTTCTAATTTTTACATGTAATGTGACACTTTTCAAAACTGACGGAAGTTTTGAAACGTCTTACTTTACGTAACCAGTTGCGTAAAGTAAAATTTTACATAACTGGTGATGTAATGTTCATTTCATTCATTCATTTCACACAACAAGAGTCGGCAGAACTCATGTAAAACTGGTCATTATTTTTGTTCATGCGAAATGTTTCGTCAAAATTAGAAAAAATATTGTACGTGACACGTTAGGAAACGCCATTTTGTGTAACTCTGTGATGTTGCGGGATCTCGCTTCGCTCGTCCCGCAAAATCCCATCGTTACACAAATTAACGCGTTTCCTAACTGATTACGTAAATATCTATTTCCTTCCATTTTTTTATATATTCTCGTCCTTCCTCGATGGGTTTCATCCTACTATTTTTTTTTTGTTTCAAAAATTATCGACCCTGGTCTATATTGGAGTGTACTAAACTACACAACACTAATTTAGTCGCACCCTAAAATGTTGTCACTGTTAAAATATGAATAACTTTTTTCTGCTTCCAACAATTTGAATTCGGATTACACTCTTCGCTAGCCCAGTCTTTGAGCTATAATCTCGTACTTCTTCATATACAATCGCTACAGAGTGTCACCTGAAACTGTGAAAAATTTCGGAATTTTCAAAAGGATCCCAAATGAACAGAAACTTTTTTTTTCAACTTCGACAGCAGAGACATGAAGATGATCTCATAACCTAGGCACAATTTTCAAATTGTCTTCATATCTCTTTTATTTACAGTGATCTCAAAAAATTTACTTTCTGGTTTTGCAGTCATAACTTTTTTCTTTGTCAATCCATTTTTAAAATCTCATTTTGAAGCTGAAACTTCAGATGAAGAGATTCTGAAACTCACAGAAGCGGGAGATATACTGAAAACAAACTCTATGACCAAGTGGAGATCTCCAGTGATAAACACTGCTAGCCAACCATCCAAATTCCCGGAAAATGTTATTAGGCGTCAAGATAGGTTGAAAATCACTCTGGATTCGATATCAGGACGTCACTGACTATACATATTTTTCCTGGAAAAATTTACATTTCAGGAAAATTTGAT